TTGGCGTGATAGAAGATGTAAATTTATGAGCCAAATTTGAATAATGGGTGGAAGAACTGAGAAATGGAACACCTTGGTTTAATAAGCTGAGCCCATAGGGCACCTCGCTCCTCGCTCCTGGTATGTAGGCAAGGCAGCCCTTTCAGCTTGTGACAGCCCTGGAAACTAAATATGGAAATCAACTGAGTTTAGAGCCAGACCTTCAAATCACTGCTGCGTAAAGTGTTAAACCACAATTTTCAAAACTAAAAAAGCATACTCGGTCCCATTGTTCTCATGGTGAGGACAGAAAAGGCATTTTGAACCGTCACTTAGTGAAATGCCTAAAAATGCTCTTTTATATCTAATAGATTCTCCTTGTTTCATTTCTGTTGATTTATTTTTATGGTAACCATAATGTATTGATGTCACATGCTCTACATTGTGTCTCTATAGTGATGTAGGTAATGGACGTCTGTACACATATGGTTTTATAATCTATATTCATCAGGTTCTATATGTTGGATATAGAGTTCTATGCATGTAATTCATTTTAAAAATAGATGGTGAAGGTGCCTGCTCAAAAGTTGTTACTGATAGGATGTGTGGACAATAATGTTTAAGCTTGGGGGGGGGGGCGTGATAAAGGGGAGCTGATATCAAGGAGTTCAGGAAGAAAGAAAATGTATTGAAACTGATTGTGGTAGCAATTGTACAATACAGCTTGATGTGATTGAACTGTGGATTGTTATGATATCTGTAAGCGTTCCCAATAAAATGATTTAAATTTTTATTTTAATAAAAAAAATTTTAATAAAGTTTGAGCTTGAGGAGAGGTCTAAGGACCCCTCCATCTGTGGCATCCAATGTCCTGAGTGGGGCCATTGATAGGAGGATGTTCCCCAAGTGACTCTTGCCTGCCCTGTAGGGTAAGGTGCCCAGACATCCCGCTTTTGGCAGGACAGCCCCGATTTTTGCGTTTTAAAAAAGTCCCGACTTTTTGAAAGAATGCAAGACAAGCTAGGGAACGGTCTATTTGGTCCATCTAGACCAAATTTTTCATCAAGAACCCCCACCCCCACCCCCAGTCAATGGTGTCCAGCTTTAAATCTGGTGACCTTACTGTAGGAGCAAAGGGTCATCAGAGTTCAGGCATGGATTCTCTAGCTAAGGAGTCCAAGGGCCGTGAGGACTGAGACTGGGCAGCACCGCCCCACCCTATCCCGTGGAATCCCTTCCCTGGACTAGACAGGACTCTCCTCCTCTCCTCCTCCACCTGCCCATGGCGACAGAGAAGGGTGACTTGCCTCCAGCTCGGAAGAAAATCCAGAGGCCCTGAGAGGTTCACCGTCTTTCCTGGAATCTCGTCGCAAACGGGCGATGGAGCCAAAGGACGCGTGCAAGTAGGCAGCGTGCCTACTCTGCGCCGTTTCCCTGCTCCGCTTCCTGTGGGCCTTAGAGCAGGGAGAGCGTGGCTTGGGGTTACCAAAGTCTCACTACCATCTCTGTGGGGAAGTCCTTCCTGCTACGGGTTCAGTCTTACGTGCTGTGCCTAAAGCATAGACCGATCAGGAAGCTAAAGACATGGGTCTGTTCTCTGTTGCACCACAGTGAAGAGCATCTTTGGTATCTGGCTTGGGCACCCAAAGACAGAGTTTCCAGAGAAACCCGTGCCTGCAGCTTTGCTTCCCTTTCAGGGGGTTCAGCAGCTCCCTGAAGCAAAATGATTGCTCTGAGACACAGAGGTTCTCGGCCACCCTCCCCTGCTCAAAAGCGTCCCTGTGTTGTACGTTGAATTGTGTTTCCCCACCAAAAAATAAATCGTTCAATAGGTTGACATTCTAACCTCCGGCACCTGTGAGCTTGATGCTAATGTTTACATGAGCGTCTTTGGAGATGCGATTCGGTGAAGATGACATCATACCGGAATGGGGTGGGTCCTCATCCAACATGAAGAGAGAGGGAATGCCGTGGAAGCTGTATCCGCCCTCCTCTGACATCACAAGGGGGAAGGAAAATCCAACTCCACATCGGACCCAGGAGGATTCCTGTGAGACAGAGACCAGACTGACCTCCAGCCTCCAACCTCCGTTACCCTGTCCTGACCTCTAATGTCCCTCCCATGACACAATTGCTTTGCTGGTTTTGAAAACCCATTGCAACGGATACACAGAACTCAGACAGTGCTCATGATTTATGGAGACTTATTAGGGAGGCTAACAGGTTGTGGGTTAGGATCAGAAATGTTCAGAACGCAGTTCTTTGGTCCATAGCGTCTCTTCTGCGTCACATAGTGCCTTGGGCAAGTGTTACAAAGCTCATAGCGGGCTGACAAATGTCATCACTAAATGTCAGGTACCCACCCCACTCTGCAAGCCAGCCTCCTGCTCAAAGGCATTCAGATTGACTGGTTCTATGGGCCAGGAAACCCAGCACTCCGTCTCACGGTCTCTGCTGCTGCCTCCGCTGTCGCCACAGCTCTTCACACAAAGATCTTAGGGTCCAACAGATGCACTCGGCTCACGGCTCTTCCTCCTTGATGGTCATGCGAGTCTCTCCTCCTGCTTCCGAGATGACTCACTTCATACCCATCGAAATGACAAAACTGACCAATCCCCACATTAGTTTCACACATCTTATTTGCATACTCCCACCCAGTCATCTGTTGGGAGTTACAAAGACTGTATAGAAGAGTTCTACCAACTAATTCAACTGGGTCACAAATGGTGTCCTTATTTTTTTTTTTAAATGGTCAGAAAGAGACAGAAGAGGGCAGTGAACCAAGCATGTATTTCTAAGCCGAGGGATCCTTGGAGTCCCCCAGAGCAAGGGCCTTTCCCTGGACTGAGACCTTGCTGGAGCACCACCCTCTTCACCTGTCTATTTGGACTTCAAGCACCCATTACTGTGCGAACCACATGGTTTCGTCATTGAAAGCCAACCCGTGGGTGGGCTATCGTAATGCAGCCTTAGGAAATGAAAACATTGCCCAGGAAATTCCAGCTGCCAAGGCCCCTCCCCCAGAGGAGTCCCAACACACCTGCACTAGTCACCTGCAGGGGCAGACACCACGCTAGCTAATTCAAGCAGAAAGGAATTTCATGCGGGTAATTCCATGCTGGAAGAACAGCCTCAAGCAGTGGCTCCCAGCCTCCCCACTGATCCGGGCTCCTTGGGGCAAGGGCCTGGCCCCATGCGTGGCTGTACCCCAGCACCTGAATGCGGCAGGTGCTCATGAAAGGGGTTCTGGAAGATTGAGTAATGAGGTTCTCTACACCTCCCACCCCACAAAAGAGCACTCTCAGATGACTTCTTTGTTTGGTTGATCGGTTTTCCCTCTCCTTTACTGAGAGAAATACCCTCTAGAGGGTTTCGGTCCTTCACAGAACTGC